GCTGCTCTTATTACTGCTTCCTGCCCCATCTGCTACTGTGCTGCCTGTCCCCTCTCCAGTCTGCTGTGTGCCACACACAGATGCTGCCCATCCTACTTGCAGAACATACCCTGAACATACCCTGCCCATCTTAGCCCTTTCACACCTTCTAAACCTGGAAATCATAGAAAATGAGGGCTGGAAGGGATCGCAGGAGGTCACATCTAGTCCAACCTCCTGCTCAAAGCAAGGCCAGCCCCAACTAGATCATCCCAAGCAAGGCTTTCTTGAGCTGGGCCTTAAAAACCTCCAAGGCTGGCGATTCCACCACCTCTCTAGGTAGCCCATTCTGGTGCTTTACCACCCTCCTGAAATGCAGGGGTGAAGCCAAGCTGGGGACTGAGGAGGAAGGTTAGAAGGTCACTGCCTGTTTCTGAGCCCTCTATTTTCCATGTGCTTATATTCAGCTCTGTGGGCAGTTGCCCTACCTCATTTCTGGGTTTTGTGCTTGCAAACTGGATCAGGTAGGTGGGACAAGCTGGGGGTGTCCATCTGTGGACACACCAATGAGGTAGCACATGTGTAGCTATACAGACCATTCCTCACCTTGCCCATACCTGGGGAAGGGAGCGACTTAGGAGGATGCAGTCCCTCTGCATATTTATTCCTGGAAGAAGCAGCAAGCACAAGATGCCCCTTCACAAGCAGCCTTCACGTGGCAGCATACTTACTATTTGGGAGCCTCTCCTCTTCTGAGCTCTAGTACAAGTAGATGTAACACTACATAATATTAGTGGAGGGCTCTGCTTTTCAGTCACCTTGGCCTTGGTAAGGGGTTTGCAGTAAGGATTGCACTAAAAACTGAGGCAGCTTCCGCTAATAGGGATGGATAAAGTTAGCTGAAGGCTGTGCATGGAAGGGTGTCTCTGTAGGTTAGAGGACAGAAAGAAGGGAAGGAGGGAGGAGGTACAGACAGGCTCTGGTTCAGCCTGCATTGCTGATTTGACATTTCCAGTAAAATCAAATCCCAGGCAAGGTGTGAGGGTGGAAACAGATATCACCTTTCATCACCTTTGTGGTGCCATAAACATATTTATAGCAGCACAACGCAACAGTAGATAGACATCCAACCCTTTGGTCATGCCCCTACCTGGCTATGACAAAAGGCAGTATTGTGCTGCTTTCTTGCAGCAGATGTCTATTTGCTTCATGGCAGGAGACTGGCAGCTGGAGTTTCCCAAATTCTCCCTCTGCTGTGGGGATGGGCTCCTGGCACTTGAAGGGCCTGGTCCTGCACACCGCGGGAACTCCTGTGCAGGATCAGGCCCCTGAAGCCCAGGCAGTGCCTCAGAGATGAATTGCTGAGGGACATGCCCTCGGCAATTCCCAAGGCCCATCTCTGGGCATGGAGGACTGCCAGGGTGCTCCACTTCCACAGACTCACCCCAAAGATTGCCAGGGGCACATCTCTGTCAGCAGAGAACCCCGACTTGCTCCACTTCCAGAGGCATGCTTTAGAGACTGCCAGGGACACATCTCTGTAAGCAGGAAAAGCTGGGACACTCTGGTGTGGTCCACCAGTCCGCTGACTGTCAGTCCCAGTGCAAGGACTGTACCGAAACATTCTGGCTTTCCCCATTTCCAGACTCACACCCCTGACCATCTTCAGGTGCCCCAGGCATTGCCAGGGAAGCATCTCTGGAAGTGGGGAACACATTGTCCTTTATTTCACAAGCTCAATGGGCAGGACAACAGGCAATACATGGTTCCAGATCATGTGGGGGGATGCATCCCAGCGTGGCTGATGTGCTTCATTTGGCAACATCTATTTCTAGATTATGCCAGCTCATGTCCGCAGGTCCTACTGGTGGCAGAACAGCTACCCATGGCTGCTTCTGTAGGGAAGGACTCTGCCATCCTCCTAGGTGTGGGCTTGCTCTCTGAACAGATGGGGGATGCTGAGCTGGCAATGACAGGCATGATCAGGACTGTCAGGTATGCAGGACTGTTAGGTGAGGAGGGTATCTTCCCCTGAAGGGGTGCATGGGTTAGGGTTAGGGAGGCAGCACAGCTCCATGAGCATCCTTCCCTCTGGCCGTGGTGGTGTAGCTGTGTTGCAGATACAGCTGAGTGGGCTGGGGACCCTCTGGGGTGAGTGTGCAGGCTCCGTATGGAGGGTAGAGACTGGGGACTTGCTCTCAGACACAGCAGATGGATCTGGCTGTGAGGCCAAGTGAACCACAGCTGTGGGTGACCCCACGATGGGTCCGGCAGGGGATCTCTCCACTGAGTGCAGGGATGCGGTAGCTACCAGGGAGCATGACCTTGCTACATTACGGTACATGGCCAACATGTCCGTGGTGGCCTGTGCCGAAGTACAGGACAATGAAGAAGTGATGCAGGAAGGCTGCTGGGAGGGAAGAGGTGCCATTCTGGCCCTGGGTAGCCTTGGCCACCAACTGTGGAAAGCCCTGTGGAAGACTCTTGAGGGCACATGCCCAAGATAGCTGCCCTCCCTGGACCACTCCCCAGGGGCTCATCCTTCCTGTTGCTAGTGGTGAGGGCTGGGGTGCGTTGTCTCCTCAGGCCTCACCCAGCTGTCATGGGATCTGTGGAAGGGGTGGGGATCTGGTTGGGGATGCTGAGGTCACCATCCACTGAGCTGAAGTTGATGGCTGTGATTTAAAGGAAATAGTTATTTATTTCCCCAGCTCCAGGAAAATGAGCTCAGACTACTGCCTTCAGGGGATCAAGGGTGGAGAGCCACATGCTGGATACAGGCTGTCTAGTCAAAGCATCCCATGCCTCCATCATGGTCTTAGTCAGCTGCGTCTGGTCCCTCCCTTTTTTTTTTGGCTGGACACTGTAGTTCATCTTTGGTCTGTCCCCTCCCACCCAACCACATTGACCTGCTGCTGCAGCTGTCCCCACACACTCTGAGGGAGCCTCCTCCACTGTCAGCTCCCACAGGCACTAAGCCATAAAGCCCATCATAGCCATCCAGGAAAGGGTGAAGGGGGGGCGGCATGTGGGGGCCATCACAGATCCCATCTCTGGTCTCCTTAGACCTAGTCCAGCTGCCTCCATCAATTTCTCTGCAGTCTGCAAGCAAACCGGAGTCCCAGACCTGAGGTTGCCTGGGCATTTGGGTTAGGGTCAGACGTTCAAAAAGCCTGAGCCTGAATTGATTCAATCTTTGCAAATTAGTCTAACCTGGCTAGGCTGAACAGACATCCCTTCTGGACTGAGGAAATGCAGGTACACGCCTGCAGTGGCTCAGGCTAGAAGCTGGAGGGTGCAAGAGGAGCCCTCCCTTCCCTTCTACAGTGCTGAGTGTAGGGAGGGCATAGCTAGACCCTGGCAGGGTGCTTTGATTAGGGAAGGGATCCCCCCCTTGCTGTTGATAACAGAGCATTGAGTTACACAGGGAGTTGTTAGCAGTTATCAACACATCAAACAAAACAACATCCTTCAAGCTCTTCTTAAACAACTTCTAAGGAAGGAATGGACGGACATTACCAACTACCTGTTGATTAACTCCAAAAGCTTTAAGCTGATACTGTCCTGTCTGCCTTTGCCCCGTCTCCTACAGCATGAACCTTAGTTTTGGTTTTCTGGCTAATGTGGTTTTCTGGCTAATGCTGGGAGGTGTCTGTGCAAGGCAGAGAGAATGGGGGATCCCTGCTTGAGCAGGGAGTGGTGTGGGGAGAGAGAAGCAGGAGAAAACCAGGCAGACACCATTGTACCTGCAGTCTCTGCTGGAGCTCCAGCCAGGGAGCAGAGGGGAGGGGCCAGCCCTGCTGGGCTGGAGCAGAGAGCAGAGCCCTGCCCGAGGTTGCAAAGCACTCTGATTTAACTTAAACCAGGAAGGGGTCTAGGACAGACACTGCATAAACTGGTTTGACCCAAATCAGTTAACTCTGATACTACATTCAACCAGGTTTATTTCAAACCAGTTTCAGCCATTTTCTAACTGGTTTTTGTGCACTGAAGAATGGGTTATACTTTATTTTTATGCCTTCATTTTTTCACTGATCACTTTAACACTGAATTGTAACTGTCTAGCTGACTCTGGTGAGACTGGTGTCATCAGCTGCTGGGAGATACTGCTACAGTGATTGAAAATACGGTCCAGACCCTGCATCTGACTGCACTGCTGGCCTGGCCCTGGACTGACCTAGCCACTCTCACAGAAACCAAACATTCGACCTGCAGCAACTACATTGTACAGCTCAGCATAACATCACACACCTAGAACATACAACTTTGAGGCCTACCTCCACTCTCATGCATCCTCTCTATGCAGACCCAAGTGTGTGCATAAACACACACAGAGGCACACTGGGCACACCTACACATGCATTAATGCACTGTTGCTACTGCAGATTAAGTTTAATACCTCTAATATGAGGTATTACATAAATACGTGGTAGCCGGTGCTAATGTGCTATAGCAACGGTGCATAGTCTTTTCGTGACACTTAATGCACAGTAGATTAATTCTACTCTGCATTAGCACGGTTTTTGCCGTGGTGTACTAATGCGCAGTAGAATTAGCTTACTGTGCATTAAGTGTCTCATGTAGATGTGCCCACTGAGGCTCACAGACACACACACACCCAGATCCTTCTGCCATGGGATTTTATATCCATGGGGGCTTGGTAACTCCCACCTCATCACCCTCCAGTCACGTACTGAATATTCCAGTCTCCTTGGTGACAGTTGCTGCCACTCATTCAAACTGCTACAATCTTTCACTCAATGGGTCTCATTTCTCACTTTTACCTTAGGGTTGTCCCCTCACACACCTATCAATCATCAAAACTCAAGCATCGCGCACAGAAAAGTAGGTCCAAAATTAAAACTTCACCCCTTCCAGGCCTTTCTAAACCAGGCCCCAACTGCACATGCTTGACAATGGGTTTGCCAGAACCACAGAACAGAGCAAACCAAAACCCGAACCTACATCGTTGAATGCCTGCTGTGGTTTTCCCAAGCTAAACTTACTGTCTTTTCTCCCAGACATTGCCCTGATCACAAAGGCACTTGACATCTGGTTGTGGACCCAGCATGGAGAAGGCATCAAGAAGCTGATCCGGAGTCCAGGATTTTATGCTTCAACCCACTGACCCACCCCAATGGGACACTCGATCACTCTTGAGTTCTTTAAAGAGTAACATTTCAGTGGTTAAAACAGTCCTTTGCTGAAAGGCCATGCTCTTTGTTTCCTTCCACGTTGTCCTCAAAGGATTAAATTAGAGGTCCAATGATTCAATAACCTTGGTGGGACTCTGGGAAAGTGGCTGTAAGCAACTGCGGGCTTGGAGGTCTGACACACTGGTTTGAGGGTCAAGCACAGGTGGGCTATCAAAACCCACCTGAAGTTAGCACTTGAAGAAATGAGAAGATAGCCCCTCTTCCAGGGTCATTGAGTCTTCGACACTTCTGCCGAGCCTGGGTGGCAGGGATTTTTTTGATGGGACCAAAACCTTGAGGCAGCTATCCAAGGGTAACAACATTAGACTCAACCCTCTGAGCTAGAGGTAGACGACTCCATAATACTTAGCACATTCAGCTCAGCTTCTGCTTGCGGATCCATAGAACTTTTGCGGCCTACTTTTCATCTTCAAATGATCCTCTTCCCTTTTAATTTCTGAATGTGACACAAGGCCATTGAGTTGGGGGTATCTCAAGAATGGCAATGGCTTTTACATCTGCTATGACACTTTTCATGGAAATTCCTCTCAACATGACCTACTACGAGTATCAATATGCAGACGAGGAGGACTATAGTCAATTTTTGGTGTGCAGAAAAGAAAACATTGTGTCGTTCAGCAAAGTGTTCCTGCCAGTGCTCTATAGTTTGGTGTGTTTGCTTGGATTAGTTGGGAACTTTCTCCTATTTATCATCCTCCTCAAGTACACTAAGAAGAGGAGGATGACGGAGGTGTACCTGATAAATCTGACCATTTCGGACCTTCTCTTTGTGGCAACGCTTCCTTTCTGGGCCACGCATGCGGCTTCTGAATGGGTGTTTGGAACGGTGTTGTGTAAGATCCTTAGTACTATCTACACCATGAACTTCTACAGCGGCATCTTCTTTGTGAGCTGCATGAGTCTAGATATGTACTTGGAGATCGTTCATGTGTGGTCCAGTAGAAACTCCAGGACATCAGGAAAGTGTTTCCTTGTCCCTTTAGCGGTGTGGATTGCTTCCATACTGCTGTCTGTTCCCGATGCTGTCTTAATGCATGTGGAGAAGCTCCATGATGGGAAATTGGTGTGCAACCATGACTACAGCCAGCACAGCTCCATCTGGAAGATTACCCTCCGATTTTTGCAGAACGTGCTGGGCTTTCTCGTCCCATTCCTCTGCATGGTGTTCTTTTATACACGCATCGCTTGTGTCCTCACCACGTATAAGTCCCCTAGCAAAAAAAGAGCTCTCCAGCTTGTCATTGTTCTGGTAACTGTTTTCTTTGTCCTGTGGTTCCCTTATAACATCACCCTGTTTCTTCACTCTCTGCAAGACCTTCATGTGTTTAAGGACTGCGAAACCAGCCAGCACCTGGACTACGCTATACAAGTCACTGAGAGCCTCGCCTTTGTTCACAGCTGCCTCAATCCTCTCCTGTATGCCTTTGTGAACAAACGGTTCAGGTTGTATTTAAAGAAAATATTGGGGGCAGTCTTCAGGAAGCAGAGCATCCTCATTTTCCAGCCCTCTGAGACGAGTCAGTTTTCTAGTAAGCGCACAGCCCAAATAGAAATGCTAAGCATCACCAACCTGTCCTAAATATTAAGATGTTATCACTGCTTATGCTTTAACACCACAAATTTTGCTGCTTTTGGGGGGTCAGGAAAGGTAAGGGAGAGGGGTTGGAGCACCAAGCTGGAAATGAGGAATAATCCCATCCCTGACACTAGCTGTCTCAGTCGCTGTGGGCAAACCACAACCATTCCCTTTCTCTGAACTGATGGGGGTGGGAATTTGTTGTTGCAATTCTTTCTGAAATCTGCCCCTACAATGGGGGAATCCCAAGGAAATTGGGGTGACTGAATTCATGTGAAAATGTCTGAGAGCAAAACCCTGGGCAGTAACCACGAGCTCACTCCACAGTTGTAACCGTGAACTATGTTACATATGCAAGGGGATTACCAAGGGGGAGCCCAGGATATGTGTATCTGGTAGTAAGTATTATCACAGGAGCAACAGCATGCGCGCACCCACCCATATATACGATTATATAAAAATATATATGCATAAAATGCATACATATATATATAGGATTACATATCCATAGACACACATACACAGCATTATATATGAATACACACACATATAGGCATTATATATGCATACACACACATCCACATAGGAAGTATATATAAATACACACACACACACGCCTAGGGATTATATACAAAACACATACACATACACACACGTAGGAATAGTACATAAATACACATAGGAATTTATATATAAATATACACACATATAGGAATGATATATGAATACATATATATATACACACATACATATATGTGTGTATTTATATATAAATACACATACACATATTGGAATTATATATAGAATACACACAAACACACTCAGGTGTTGCAGAAAGTCATAGCAATATCAAAATAAAAGGATTTTGCATGCAATGAATGGGAAACTACCCAGCAACAGGAAATGATGGGCAGCATTGTTGAGCTTACCCATTGTTTCTGACTCCATAAAGAAGTGATATGATCCTGTTAGTGGCTCATTGCATGCAAACGGATAAAAGTGTAATTGCATTAATGCTGGAAATACCCATGTGTGTTGTTCTGTATTTAACCTGTTAATATCAAGTAGTTTTATGAAGAGATTTCCAAAGCAGGGTAGTACCATTTCCCCCCGTTTTCCAGGTGGCCATGCAGCAGGCTGGTGGCAGAGGAAGGTCTCCTGAGTTTCCGGCCAGAGGCCAGAGAGTCTCTGGAACAAGGGAGGGAGGATTTGCAAAGACTCTTTGACCTGAGGAGGGGATGGAAAGGAGGCACACAAAGAACCCTTGCAGTCGGGGGCAGAGGCAGGTGAGGAGATAGAGGGATGCAAAGCGCCCCTGGCCTTGGCAATGCACCCAGCCTGCAACCACAACATTCAACCCCCTACAGCAGCCGTCACAGTGATCCACTCCCCGTTGGATCTAAGGGGAGGAAGAGCTGTGGAGAGGGTGGGATTGCTATGTCCTGTGTCTGTCATCATTGTGTGTGCCTCAGTTGCTCTTTGCTGTTACCCATGGGGATTGAATCATGTGCAGAGAGAGAGCGAGATGTGACTGTCTGCACATACTGGGGTGAAAGGTGCTGGTGGCACTGAGTGGGACCTGAGATGTCAGGATCCCAGCCACTGAACTGCTGGCTTAAGGGCTACTGGGTCTGAAGCCACAGCAAGTGGAGTAGTAGACTAGGGGCCAGGCTCAAGTGAGGGGCTCTCCACCCAGCACCAGAGCAGCAGTTGCTTCACCTGGGATACGTGGCAGTGCCTAGAGAGCCACACACTCCACAGGCACGAGATGAACCTGCCTACACCCTGGATGCCCAGAGCCGAGACAACGAACAGTGGCAACAGTGGGAAGAGGGGAATGATCTCTACCACGATGGTGGTGGAAAGAACAACTCCGGACTGTTGCCAAGGGACCTCTGTGGGGGGTGGTGGCAGCCACTGTTATTTTGGCACTCAGATATTTTATGTGTTGAAAAATGGATGTGTTTAAGAATGTGCTCTCCCTTTTAACCTATAATTAATTCCTGCTTGGATAACTCTTGGATGTGGTGGGATGTGGCTCACTGTAAACATGCAAATGGTATAATTTAGCATCCTTACCTGTCTGGGTAGTATTTCAGAAATGTAAATAAACGTTTCAGAAATCGAATTATTTCGGAAGTGTCAATGTTAAGAACAAAATCCTAGGGATTGAATGCTTATGGCCAGACAATATTCCTATGTCCTCATTCATTTGAAAGGCATGAAGTTATTTCTAATATAAGCCATCAGAAACTGAACAAATCCTGAAGATGTCACAAAGTGAATATTACACTTCCCAAGAAACAAAGGCATCTTCAAAAGGGTTCATGTTATTGATAGTTCCAGCAGTCCTCAGCTTCAGCTCAGTCCTTTGTTTCCTGGGCCCACTTGGTGCACAGGAAACCCTTAAATATCACTTAGTCTGCACTCAGCATCAACCATCCATCCAGTCCCTTTAAGATTTACTCCTTACCCAGGAGCCCTATGGCTCCTTTTGGAAGCCTCACCTGGCTTCTCCTTCCTCAGAGGCTTTTTGACTCCCTGTGACTACTAGTTATCTCCCTCGGCTGGCTCTGTCCTCCCAAGCAGCCTGTAGGCTGGAGCCTCTGAAGCCTGCAGACTGCCCCCAGGCTCCTGGAGCTGGCAGTCTGCTACATAGCGCTTAGAGGGCATTCTGGTTAATAAGTAATGGGAAAGAAAGAGAAAACATTACATCAGCAGAATCACTGTGATCTATAATATTTCTCTAGGCATTCCTGGAAGCACAAGTGGGTGTTATGAGCTAAAAAGTAACGGGGATGCTAAACATTCGTGACAGTACAAATCACAATCAGCAGTCAAGGCTGCCAGTTCATGGCCTATGGTAAAAGCTCACCTTCAAACAGAAAAATGCTGATTGTTAGCTGATTTCCGATCAACCTCACACTTCGTGGGAGTTGCAAGTTCAGGGTTACTGCAGTGTTGGCCTGAGTTTCAAAGCTGCCGGTCACTTGGACCTCTCACTGACTCCAGCTGGGATCAGTCTGGACTTGAAACTGGTTAATTACAAACTGATGCTGTGTAGAGATGGGCAAATTATTGACTTTTGGAGCCAGTGGCCAAAACAGAGGGGAAAAAACACCCCGAGGAAAAAAATAAATTTTATGGAGATGCCAAATTTCTCTGATCTCTTTTTTCCCTCTATGAAATGAAAAACCACAAATTATATTAAGAAATAATTTAGGATTGAATAAGATGTTATCTTCTGGGGGACTTGGTTTCCTTTTAAATAAAAGTAGCTCCACTCTTAAACTAAATGTGGTCTTGAAGTACAAAATACAAGTATTTTGTTTCATTTTAGAAAATGGCAAAAAGAAAAGCTTGATGTTTTCAATTTTTTTTGTTTTGTTTCAGCTTCTCAGTTAATTTGACATGAATTTGTGAATGGCTTGTGAACTCTATTTTTGGTGGAAAGAAACTTCACAGGAAAAAAATCACTTAGGCCTAGTCAGGTTGCTCCGACTGATCATTCACTGCACTTCACAGTTGTTCAGCTCGTTATGCAAACCTTTCCATTGTGGCCATTTATAATTATCCTGGACAAACTACAAGTCAGTGTACATGGTTGCTGGTCGGCTCATGTTCATCTTGTCGTCAGTCCTGACCCCCAAATCCCTTTCGTGTGAAGTGCTAGCCAATGCCTATAAGCATGCTGCAGGTTTTTCCTCCCAAGGTGAAGAACCTTGCATTTTTTGGTGTTAAATGCCATCAGGTTCTTGTCTGCCCATTTCTTGAGCCTCTCGAGGTCAACCTGGATTGCCCTCCTGTCCTCAGGTGTGGACGCTTTACCCCAAAGTTTGGTGTCATCGGCAAACTTGGCCAGTCCACTTCTGACACCAATGTCTACAGCATTAATGAAAATGTTGAACAATATAGGCCCAAGAACAGAGCCTTGTGGGACCCCACTGGTCACAGGGCACCACAACAATTGACTTCCATCAACCACCACCCTCTGGGTCTGACCACAGAGCCAATTCTCCAGCCAGCAGGTTGTGGAGAAGCTGAGACCACAATTGGCCAGTCTTGCCAAGAGGTGATCACGGGATATCAGATCGAAGGCTTTTTTGAAGTCAAGATATATGACATCAATCTCTTCTTCCTTGTCCAGGTGATAGGTCACCTGGTCATAAAAGGAAATGAGATTGGTCAAGCAAGACCTGCCCATGACAAACCCATGCTGGCTATCCCTCAGGATTTTGCCATTGGCCAGTCTGATGAGGATGGTCTCTTTGATAATCCTTCTTTTCTAGGATCTTCCCTGGGATAGAGGTCAGGCTGATGGGCCTGTAGTTTGCTGGATCCACTTTCTTCCCTTTCTTGAAGATAGGTACCACATTGGCCTTC